CTAAAGACTTGTATGAGCTCCAATGAAACTGTTATTCTAGTGCGTGTGCTACAGTTCAACTTTCGAATAAGTATATGTGTGAGCGTTCTCTCCCATCAGGTAGCCTGGCTACGGTAGGGGTAAGCTCTCTTGGCGTTGCCATACAGATTTACTAAAAAATAAACGGTATTGAATGGAAAATAGAACAAAATAAAACCTACTTGAATTAAAAAGAGAAACAATAGGAAAAACAAACAACATAAAAAAATTAAATTAAATTAAATTACATAAACTAATATAAAATAAAATTAAAAAATTAAAATAAAAAGAAATTAAATAAAACACAAATTAAATGAGATAAAATTATATATAATAAAAATTTAATATTAAATAAAAAGAAATAATAAAAATATAAATTAGTTAAAGAATTTAAGAAAATAAATAGCAATTAATGAAACTTATATTAAATTAATACAAATTAAATAAAAAAAAACAATATAAGTAAATTAATTAAAAAAATGAATTTAAATTAAATATAATTAAAAAATTCAAAATCAATTTACATAACGGTAAAAGAAATTAAAGATATTAATATAAATATTTTAACATAAAATAAAATAAATTTAAATAAATCAAAATGAAATCAAAAAAATTACATAAAAGAATTTAATGAAAATATAATGGAAATTAAAAAAAATTAATTAAAATTAATTTAATAAAAAAAATCATATACACAAGAGATAAATACTAAAATTAAATAAAAATTTGAACAAACAAAATAAAAAAGAGTGGGTGAAATAGTTTTAAAAATTAAATATTTAAAAAACAGTAATGTACATGTAAAGTAAAATTTATGGAATGAAGTGAATACAACAAAATGTAATATGAAACTGGAATGAGAAAAAATTTAATTACAATAAAATAAAATTAAGCAAAAGAAAATGAAATAAAATAACATAAAATAAAAAATGGAATAAAATACAATGAATTAAAATAAAATTTAATAAAAGCTAATTATATAAAGTAATAGTAAAATAAAATCATAATCAAAATAAACATAATTAAATTGAATAAAATAATAAAGTAAAATTAAGAAAAAAATATTTAAAACAAAATAAATATACAAAAATAAAGCCAAGCAAAATAAAATAAACCAAAATACAAAGTAAAAAAATTATTGTAATATCAATTAACAGCAAAAAAAATAAAATAAAAATTAAATAAAATAAAATATAAAACAAAATAAAAAATAAAAATTAAAGCATGTAATAATAATTTTTATGTTATAAATTATTTCAAATAATATTAATATTAAATTTAGTAAAGTAAAGTAAGATAAATTGAAATAAAATGCAGTAAAGTGAATTGAGACTATAGAATATAAAAAATCATAAGAAAAGTAATATACAAATTTAATAGATAAACTAATGCAAAAGCAAATATATAAAAATTGCAAGGAATATTTTTTACGATTGAAGAAGCCGACAACTTTTTAATGCGATCGCACAGTAACTATGGAAGACTCTTAAGAAATACTGCTTAGTGCTTAATTTTCCAATGAAATTGCCAATTAATGGGAAAGCCGATAATATTTCATTGGCTCTCTTTGAAAAATACTACCATTATTATTTTTATATGTATAAGCAGAGAACATCTGGCAACCGTTTACTTATTTATATATATGTTTGTATTGGATTTCTCAATTACTATGTCCGCTCATTAAACTACCCTTAGCTGTATCATAACATTCTCAGAGAGATGTAAAGTTTACATACGTGGGACATTGATACTGATAAAATTTCTGCACGAAAACAACAAATCAGCTGATATGTACCTTAGTGGGCTAAGTTTGCTGAAATTAAAAAAAAAATTGTTTTATAATTTATTTAGTTTAATTTATTTCCTAACTTATAACATATATTATTATATATTAAATTTATTTAAGCTTAACGAATAGATTTCAATGCTCTTAAAATACAAGATTTACGCAAATTTATTATTAATAAAAAAATTCCTGGATAAAGCCAACAAAACAGCGAATTTAATGGCAAATAAAATACTTGAAAACGTACAACATAATAGTATAGAAAGTTTAGTTTCGTCTTAAATCAACTTTAACACTAATAGTTTGGCCTCGAAAAAATAACAAATTTCATCAACATTATGGAACACTCGCGCTTTAATTTAACAGTAAAAAATGTCCATATATTACAAATTAGATCAGTTTGATTTATAATGAACGTAAAAACACTGTTATGTAAGCATAATCTCCATGTTTCTCGCAAATATAATATAATCACTACCTAACTAACATTATTGTGCGAAGAATTATTCTCAGCTAATGTTTGACAATCGTTTGTTGTTGTTACCAGCACGCTGATAATAATTCAAATGCTCTTAGTAATTATGAACTCCGTCGACTAACGCTCTCACAATAAGCACACACAGAGAGGTATGTCGTTATTGTTGTACAAATGTACGAATGTTGATATGTTTGTTTACTAGCTTGTATGTCGATTTGTTTACGAGTTTCATTATTACTTGTTAAATATGGGGGAAGGCCGTCGGCATATTTGCCCACAACACTTTTACTCATATACACAAATATATATACATACGTATGTGCCCACGCAAGGGTTTGCGTGTGTATTTTGACGTGCTTCTTGCCTTACCTTCTCTTCAACCACCAGCTGGTGCTCATATAGAATCCGAGTCAGCACAATAAGCTTAAATCTGTAAATATATTTGTACACAAAAGCATGACAAAGCATGCAAAAGCTTGAATTGATGGTTCTTATATTCGATACGAGTCAGTTAAGTAGGTTGTATTTAAAGCTTTTTTAAAAGTTCAGGTTTAACGGAGTACTCGTGAATACAAAACAAGTGCAGATTATAATATAGTCCATACATACGAGGTGTGACAGCAAAGTAATGAAGCTGATTATATTACCGCAATTGTGATAACCCTGCGACTTTGGTATATTTGCTATTGCTCTAGCTTGTTAAGTTCACCTGCTACGTCGTATTGGGTAAACTCGGAAACCCGGACCCGGAAACCAAACGCCAAAGCTCACAATGGTTGCCTCCGCACGCCCCCGTCCGAAAAGAACTCGCATGAGCAAATGGAAAGTGAAAATGATGATTGTTGCCTTTTTTGATAGCCGTGGAATCGTCCACGTACAATAGAATTTCTTCCACCGGCGCAAACCGTAAAGCCAGTCTACTCTCGCCAAGTACTCGAAAGATTGCGAAAACGAGTCAACAGGGCGCTGTTCAGACATCGCTCCTAGCTAGATCCTTCAATACGACAACGCGCCGTGCCACACCGCCCTCAGCGTGTCCCAGTTTTTGGCCTCTAAACGGAACGCTGTGTTCCAACAACCGCTTCACTCGCCCGATATGTCATCATATGACTTTATTGTTCCCCAGAGCGAAATCGGTGGTCAAAGAAACCCATTTTGAATCGATTGAGAACCTTCAGGCGGCCCAGCCAAAGCGTTGCGGAAATGCTACGAAGCATGGAAAACGCGCTGGAATTGATGTATAGCTGCCCAAGGGGACTACTTTGAAGGGGATGGCAGAGTTGTGGAATATTTTTGAAATATACTGTTTTTATGGAATCAGTCTCATTACTTAATTGTCACACCTCGCAGCGTTGGTGTATAAAATTTTTATTATTTTAGATTACACTACAAACTAGCTCGCCGAATTTGTAAAACAATGTAAGGACAGCTTCCGTAGCCGTTGGAACCTTTTTATGGTCTAAACCTCATGTCTGGAATATCTAATCATGTAATCGAAATAATATTTTACTATAAACATCATATCCTCTTCTTCTTCTTGCTTCTGGTAATACTGTGCAAGATGCGGTAGCCAACATGTGTGGAGCCTTGGATCACGGCTAAAACAGAGATAGCATCTTTAAAGATATCTAACCGAAATGCATTGCTTAAGGCTTATTGCAGTACTTGTTTATCAGAGGTGCGGTTGCAAACAGGCGTCTTGAAGGAGGGTGTGCGCTGTCCGGAACAAGAACCAAAACGGTTAAGTTCCCGATACCTATTCTAGAGCAGCTATATGAAGGAGCACAAATTTGGCGTTGGATTTGTGCTTGGAGAGAGACTCCTCTGTAGAACACTACCGTTCAAAATAGAGATCTAACGTCTCGTTACAATGCTCATTATAGCTAGAGTTTTTAACATATCACTGATTCGCATCCACGCCTCGACGGATGAGAACATATGCGTTCTAGAAGCACTGCTCTTGTCACGATGTCAAAATCTGCCCGATTTTATCGTCAGGGTGAACAAGAAAGTATCTTCGGCACCACAATCGAAAAATTCAGCTTGCTTAATGAAACTTCCCCAAATTAATTTAAGCTCTTCGACTTCGCCGGTGCTCGAAGTTTGGTAGTTTGAAATACCGAGTCTGCAACAAGGGAATTCAGCTGCATGGCTACCACTGGATCGATGAACGCATAACCAAATCGATAACTGCTCCTCACCCCTGAACACCAAAGCGGCTTGAGACGACGATTTACCGGCTGAGATATGGTGCAGAACAGCTGACAAATTTCAAGCATCAGCTTTTTTGAAAAGTTTTATATGACGAGTGTATGGCTGATGATTGAATCCTAAGTGCGCGCTGCCCAAATTATATTAGAGAAGATCCCACAATCTGAGCCGATTAACTTTTCAACATAATATTATACCCAACGTAGTGCGCTGTTACTGCTCTATTCTCCGTAAAGGATAATGAAGTGAGATGAATGCGTTCGGTAGTGAATGAAGACTCCTCCGGTAATGATAACTTTGGACTCGTAGATAATTTCGTGTATCGAGGAAAATTTATGGACTTTGATAACAGCGGGAACCACAGACGACGGAACGATTAGATGATGTAGGAGGCATTCACATAGTTTAGCAAATTGAGAGGCAAGAACTACTATTCTGGCTTGATCAATTTGGCCGAATGGATGGGAGCACTACAATAAAGAATAAATTAAAACTTATAAAAATAACTTTTACTTTTTATTTGAATAATTTATTAAGGCTCATTATAAATATATATATATATTCACTTAAAGTATTTAATGTTTTTTTTTTTTTGCTAAATTCTTATCCTTCTAACGTTCTATGTCTTCCCTTGGCCTTGCTTGGTCCTCACCATCATCACACACAGTCAAATCTTCTAGTTTCAAAAGTGGTCGGGGAGTAACGGGTAAAAAGGTATTACATACGGTACTTATAGTCTCGCATGAATTTGGTGCATGTACAACAACAAATGCACAATTTTGTATTACATCGCCGGGCGTATTGTCAACATAATGGAAAGCAATATGAAATTCTTCAGTGCCACCAGAGGAGATACGCTTACCGCGAACGCTGAAAATAAAATTTCAATTTAGGTGAAATAAATGAATAATACGAATACCCCTTTTTAAATAAAGGGTTTTTATTTTTAGGCAAATGACTTTCAAGAAGAAATAAAATGTTTTTAATGTTATGGCCAAAAATTTCTGTTTATTATGCAGACAAGCGCTTGCCTTGGGAAAGTAACTTACTTTACTGGCGTAGGCACCGCTAATGCGATTAAAGCCGAGTTTATAACATTGCACCATTCATTTCCATTTTTGCTTTTTGCGCCAATTAGAGATACCAAGTACAGCCAGGTTCTTCTCCATCTGGTTTTTCCAAAGAAATGGAGGGCTTCCTCTTCCTCTGCTTCCATCGGCGGGTACTACATCGAAATTTTTTAAGGCTGAGACTTGCAGAGTTTAGTTTTCGTTCGTCGAGAGAGGACTTTACTTTTCAATTGCCTACTCAGTCCTAAGTAGCACCTGTTGGCAAAAGTGACGTGAATAGTGACGTGGCAGTCGAGTCGCGAATGCGATGCCTGTTTGTTTGAAGACAGAAGATATTTCGTCTTTCCCTCGTTCACTACCAAACCTACACGCTTCGCTTCCCTAGCAGTTCCTTTTCGTGCTCTCGAAGGCTGCTTCAAAATTTACGAAGAGGTGGTGTGTGTCGAACTTTTTCAGGGATCTTTTCCAAGATTTGGCGAATGGTGAATATTTGGGCAATGGCCTTAAGCCACACTGATATGTTCCAGTTAGATTGTTGACCGTGGACTCACAAAAAACGGCCGATATGACTTTACAGGGGATATTAAGAGACTTGACCCACAATAATTGGCGCAGACTGATTATGGATTGAGCAGAGCACACTTGAACTCCAGTCTGATTCCATATTCCCTAAGGTAGCTGATGCACGCATCTCCTCAGCTCTTCACCGCCATGTTTGAACAGATCTGCTGGTAGGCCGTCAGCTCCAGCCGCTTTGTTGTTCTTTAGGTGGGCAACTGCTATTCGTCATAGTCAGGTTTGTAAACAATGTTCCGAATTAAGCCCATTCATTGTGCCAAAAAGAATTTCTTTCTCGCTGTTGAAACTTTAAGATTTTGTCATGAGGAATTTCAGCTCAATTAGTCAAGTTCAAGGGTAACAATTTTATAAAAAGGTAACGATTGTTTTAATTGAATCACGTTGTTCCAGCTTGTCGCTTACAATACGAGAATACACAAATAAGAATATACCCCGCAGTGAGAGGGTAGATCAGTATGCAAAAATTCCAGTTTAATTTCAGTGTTTTGAAGATGAAATTGTACCAGTTGGTCTTTCGTATAGCAGTTCACCAGTAGCGGGAATTATAATTTCTATCAACGTATGTTGTTGTTATATCTGTATATATCAGAGTGACATTCTCTACACCGCTCTGCTGAAGTGCGAAAAATTACGTTGATCCCTACCTCGTCACGATAGCCGAGGGGCTAAAGTTTATCGCATTAAGTTCACGGTTCCAGTCGCTATTGGTGAACTAATTTTTATTTTATTAAATTTTTTTTTTTTTGAATTAGTAATTCAATATGCCTGAATTAACTAGTATACAACTTGTATAAAACTGACAATTCAATCAATTGACAGTTCATAGGATATGGTCATATTAAAAATACCAGTTGCTTACATTACAAATAGATGGAAGATGAACTAGTTGCTACAAAAATTCTATTTAACAACTAGTATTTTTCCTGCAGTGTATGTAGTCATATGCAGAAATTAAAATAAACATTTACACTACACTCAAAAACTTTTGTTGCCATCCTCGTAACTACTTCAACAACATCTCCTTCATCCAATTTCGTCACACTTTCTACTTACGCCAATGGCTCGCCGGTAATTTTCATATCCACTTCCTCGTACTTTTTCAACACATAATCCAGAATTTCTTTGGCATCTTCATCATCTAACTAAAATTTTGAGTATTTTAATTAAATTCTTTATAGAATATATGTATGTAGATGTATAAAAACTCACATTCGTTAGACAAGTTGGCGGCTCTGTTGCCAAACAAAGGCTATTCTATAAAACCAAATACATATTTACGACTTAATTAAATTTTTGCATACGAAAAAAAAAACAAGCGAATTTATGATACTCACAACGCTGGCGGCATACAAATTTAATAATAAAAATGAAACACTCAGAAATTTCGCTAAAATTTCGCACATTTCACTTTATTTTATTGTATTTTTAAATACACTCGGCCATACAATTATTTGGCAGTTGTGCTTCTCCTACAATCGAAATATTTCAACTGAAATTACACCCACACGAAATTCAGCAAACGATTTCAAATTCAACGTTGTTGCTTTGTAAACCAGTTGAGTTATTGTTAACGTGATTGTGGCATATTTATTGTTGTTGCTCTTAATATTAAATTTATTCAATTCCAGCTTATTACACGCTACAATCAACATTGCCGATAAATGTGTGGGGAACCAGTTTTGAAATAATTACTGTTTTGATCTTTGAATTTTTAGATTTTAATAATTTTTTTATTATTTCAGCTGACATCATTTTTTATGTAAACATATTTTGCGAAAGTTTCTTCACAAAATTTATAGTGATTTCCTATAAAATGAAAATAATTGCATGTGTAAATTTTTGCAACTATAAAAACATGAGACAAATAAATATTCGATCTTAAACTTAGGAAAATTTAAAAAATCTTGTTTTCTAAATATTGAATACTGTTGCAATTAACGAGTAGGATTCCGTACTGCCAGTCGGATGACCAAGCTTCCGAATGTATTTCTGAAAGGAAATAAATGCTTCTCATAAAAACCCATCTGCCGCTTAGAGGCGGCTTAATATAAAATATAGGATCCTCCATTTGTTGGGAAAACATCAAGATTCAAAACCACAAACTGGACCAGGAGCTCGATTAAGCAGGTCTGAAAATGTATCGCTTAACAACCACACAAAGCACAAAAATTATTGACACCTACAACCAAAAATTGTGATTTAAACACGGCCATGCTTCGTGTTTTAAGAGTAGTAGAGTACTACTCAAAAAATTAGTAAAATTTTAATAAATTGTGAGGCCTGTCTATCATCTATTTGCTTGTTCCACAAGAAATATTGCTACAGAAAGTAGTGAATGTGCCTATTTATAGACATTCCCAAGGGCTGGGACTTTCTTACGGCTGGCTGTGGCGTATTTTGCACTTGCACTTGCAACTACGTCCATATAAAGTCCATTCACAATGCCGGACATAAGTCGATTGGGTGCTGGAAAAGAAAGCAGTGGACGGCAAATTTTTTAACAAAATTTTCTTCAACGATGAGACTCACTGCTCACTCGGAGAATACGCCAATAAGCAAAATTGTTGCATTTAGGACTCCGCGAAGAACCAAGAAGTTGAAAAGAGGCCATTACACACAAATGAAAAACATACTGTCTGGTGCGCAGCGATAACGGCGAGACTTTCACCATTAATTCGTAGTATTACGGTCGTATGATAACCGCCTTTTTTGGCCCGCTATTAAAGAACGCGACTTGGACAATATGTGGTTTCAACAAGACTGTGTGTTACTAGCAAATATGGCTTTATTGCAAGAGAAGTTTTCTGTCCTCGTAATCTCTCGACAGTGCAATGCCAATTGGCCACCGATGTCACGAGATTTAACGACGTTGAACTTTTTTTGTGTGGCTTCGCAAAAGATCGTTATTATGCGGATAAGCCTTTGACTCTTGAGCACTTGAAACCAACATTCGTCCAGTTAGCTGAGTTACCGCCAATATGTGTCAAAAATTGGTCGAAAAATACCACAAACGTATCGAAGTTGGTAAAAATTCGCGCTTCATTTGAATGAAGTAGTTTTCCACATTTAATTCCAAGCTTTATAGTAAAATAAGGAACTTAAAAAAAAAACAAATTATTTTTATTTTAGTTTATTAAGTTTACTTTCGAAAGGACAGTATGAATAACCCAGCATTACGAAAAAAATATAACTTGGCAATTTCTTTAATAAATATTTATATTCTTTATTTATTATTTTTTATTTCAAATTCAATTTCAATATATAAATAACACACTTAAATTGGTTCTTCATAGATCTAATTATAGTCCTTACGTTTACACTATTTACATTTATTTTTCTCAAGATTTTCGGTATTCACAGAAATTGTACACTTTTACAATAATTAACAAAATCCTCAACACCTTCATCACCGTCACTGCGTTACACGGTTTTATTTATCACTCAATACTTTTCCATTGTCTTCTTCTCCTCAATTACATCATTATATGCTGGAATTTCCTTTTGTTCTTTATACACATCATTATCAGTTTCGGGGACGACGGCTATCACTAGGTGCGCCACCTGACATATAAGCGAGAGAAGGCTCAGTCCAAAAATAGCTGATAAATTCACAACAGGCATTTCAATATATTTTATTTATAAACAAAATTGCAAGAGACAAAATTTCGAATGACTGAAAGCGATATACAGTTTTCCAGACATTTTATGCAAAATTGTCTTTTAGAAATGTGTATTTGATGGATTAACAGCTGTTTAAACTCAAATATTTACAAATTTGTAAATCACACACTTACGGGTGTTTGGCCAGGTTTCTATATGCAGAAATGGGGGCGCGGCCATGTTTAAATTTTATAATAATAACTAATAGATGCGATCGCACTTTGTTGTTGCTTTCTGTATTTTGTCAATTTTTTATTCTAATTCTATTAAAGAAAGTATTATAATTTATTATATGTATTTCGAGTAAATTGAACATGGTTCCAGGTCTTTGGTATATTTCCCAGAAATCACAATATTCCATTTTGATTATTCCAAAATTCAACCAAGCCAAATAATGAATATCTATCAAATAAATTTCGATTTGTTCAGTATACTTCTTATAAAAAAATTTCAAGTAAAATGAACTATTGTATAAATACGATTTTTTCGAATACTTTAGACCCTAGTTAGCTTCTCGAAGCTTTTTTTTTTTTTTGGGTAGCAAACTGTCAAATTTTGTAGTATAAAGTGCTCGCTTCTGAGATCACTGGAAACAAATTAGACAGTTGTGTATATATTAATATATAAAATAATATTATATAAAAGTAAATATGGTTTTTTTTTTTAGAAATTTGTTGAATGATATTATGGAAATAATGGGAAAAAATTTGCTCATAAAATTTAAAGAATTCTTCTCGTCTTAACGGCTAATTATAGCGTACAAAGGTTTCGAGGGTACTACATTTACACGCAGAGCATCAGAATCCAAACACTGATTGCTAAGTTTTTCATATGTTTTATTATTTTCCCATTTTGAATACATATTCGTAGAAAGGTATGCTCATATATCTGAAATGTTAGTATTAAATTTTTGCCATACATATGCACATATACATGTGGATTTGTATTTCGAATTACTAATTTTTCAAATTAAAAAAAAATTAATGCTTACTATTTAACAGTTTTATATTAACCCTGTTTACCGGACGTCAACATATTTACATAAATAATTACTTTTGTATGTATGTAGACACGTTTGGTTTGTTATTGAAATTTTTCGCACGCTATTAAATGAAAATTTTTATGAGTGTACTGGCATTTATAAACCTGTTTCAATATAAGAATTTTTTTGTTTATTTCAACAAAGAGATATGTATATATGTATGCAATTTATTTATTTATTATTTTTATTTTTTTCAGATATTTTTAATAAATTTATAAAAAAATGTTCTCTTTACCTTTAAAATATGCCAAAACTGTCTCTTTTAATTCATCACCGGTGATAAAATTTTTACTCCTCAGCTTTTTTTCATTTTTGGAAACAGATAGTAATCACTCGAGGACAGGTCTAGCCTCTAGGGTGGGTGATTCAAAATATTCAGGACAGCCAACGCAATGCGGTTCTTGCTTTTGCGGCGACTTGAGCATTACTCTGACCTCAGTCATACCACGATAATCGTGTAGGATTTTAAAAATGGTTGTTGGTTCTGCGAGTTATTTCTTCATTAGTCGAGTATCGTGTACGACACGCACTATGCGATAATTTACATTGTTCACATTTCACTCGCGATTATGTTGCTTGGTTGACGGCAGCTCAAGACTGATTGGCAAACAATCCTCCTACAATCCTCTTATTCTGCGAACATAAAAATGCTCGCTCATATGTAAAAATAACGGTTTAATAAATGACTGTTATGAAAATGAAATCATATTTTGCATTTTCAGAAATACAATATATATATGTGTATAACAAAATACCTTAAATATATGTCAGAATATTTATAATGAACAGCCATGACCTTAATGAAGGAGTGGAAAAGCTTTCGAAACTTTTTTGAATAGTTTTTTTTTTTGTAATTTTTACATAGGCATGGGAAGAACCTTTCGAGCGAACAATAGCGGTTACAGAGACCAAGTCTAGCTAGGTTCTTCTTCACATTATCTGGTCAATGGAGTGAACAATAGATACTACTTTTGACTGCTTAGCTAATTAAATTCTAAAAGTCACCCGTCATTTTCGTCCTGCTACATGGTGCAGAGGCTTAGAAGATGACGTTATCTGATAAGTCGGCGCAAAGTATTTTCGAGTGAAAGAGTTTGCTACCTTATTGTAGTAAATAACAGTAATGTTTTTGATGATAGGATGTTATGGCGATATTGAAATAGTTCAGCGAATAAGGATAAAGCGGCGCATAGTCATGTCGTCTGTCTGGACCACAATAGCCTAGCTCTGAGAGTACTCAACGGCGCAATAACCAGTAGCAGTAGCAGAGGAGAAAACAGAACAAACGGTGCAGTTGGTATACGCCAGTAATGATTCAAGGAATCACACATGTAAGTACCGTGATATGATGTACAAAAATGAAATGATTTAACAGTAATAATAACTTCAGTTGATTCGAATAACACCAATTAAAATGATCATAAAACTAATGTAAACAATGGTCAGTGTCTCACTGGTTTCGCAAGTTCCTTATTCTGGCCGAAACAGTTTTTCCTAGAAGAGAGAAATACTAAGAAGTTCTTTTCGACTCGGCTTTCGAATTACATAGGAGTAAGTATGTATGTAAATACGTTCTGAGGAAGAAACTATTTCATATTCGTACTTAGGTTTATTGCACAGTATTTACATACTTAAGTGTTTTAAGTTCTTTTTAACTTCTACGTAATAAAAAAAATAGTATATTGAGCTTGAAATTGAAAGTAGGCCGAAAGTTTAGTTAAATCATATGTCTGCGAAATTTAGGTCAGTATACTTTGCTAAACATATTTATTTAGAGTTTATATTTTAGCGGGCGCACTACCCGAGGGGTGAGCATTGCATACAAATATTCGGAAGTTTAAGGCTCGAGTCCAAATTTTA